TCCGAGTCCGTCGTGTCGAGTGAGTGAGTGTGTGTGTGTGCTCTCACTCTCCCCCTCTCTCTCCTCTCCCTCGGCTCACCCTCAGCCTCACGCTCATTACAGTTTGGGTCTAACTAACTAGCATGATTACACACAAGCTCTGCTTAGTGCGCCTCAGCTATCGTCTCAGTCTCTCCATGCCTTGCGTACCCACACAGAAAAATATGGTATCTTGGACATGCTTCTACAAAACTCTAACCAAAAGAGTCCTGACATCTTGTTAAGAAAATGAACTTCTCACAGCATCCCCAGCGGCAAACTGCCGACATAGCCACGATCCAGACACTTCATCGGACCATTCAATCGCTAGGGGAAAAAAAGAAAAAATGAGTTCTGACATCTGCTCGACTTTGGTCATCTTCGACTTCAACCAAGCTTTTGCCTGGTTCTAGCATATGGACCTCTCCTCTTGCCTACGTCTCTATGCACAGAAGAAAATGAATCCATCTTTTGCTAACCATAGAGAATGGGACGTCTACTGTTGCAGGGGTACAGATCTCATTCATCGGCAGCACCTGGAGGTTTACTTTGTCTGCAATCCCACTCAGATGACAGAAGATAGTGATGCAGCAATGTACGCGGCGACTTGTACACCATGGGCATCGTGGGCATTCATTCCTCTACTTACTCACTTTACAGTCCACACTTGACTTCCTCACCAGTACAGAAAATGTTAATGTAGTAAATCTTCCATCCTAGTAGTCAGCCGATCACCAGGTTTGATGCCTCAGATTGACGGCCCCGACGAGAACTTAGGTGAGATCGGCCACCTATCACAACAATTGATGGGGCCCGGCCCCCCGGTATTGAAAAAACGGAGGGTCGATAGACCCCTACCGTCACTCCAATCTTGTTTTCAGTGGCCAAAAGAAAAATGGCTTCACGCACACCAATTTCAATAAAAGTGGTCGGCCAGCACCAGCCCAAGATGGACTTCAATTCGCTGCAGGCGGTCATATCAAGGGCAAAAATAAACGTGCCCTGGTCCTTGCACGGGCTGGCCACCTGGGACCCGGGGCGCCCGGCTGGTAGCCGAGGCATAAAGGCAATTTCAATTGGCCGCTCATGCACCCATAACTATAATGGCACTGGCAGGGGAAAGCGGGGAGGAGGGGGGGGAGGGGACAGATAGAGAGGGCGAGAGGGCGTGAGGGAGAGATGGAGAGAAAAAAATTGTTTATATTAGTATGTGATGTGAATGCGTGTGTGCAGGCGCACAAGTTGATCTGTCTGTGAAGCTATGACCACCTTCCTGACATGTACAACATGTGCAAGCCAGGCGCAACAAGACCATAGCAAACACCCAGCCTGATCAGGATTTCCTAAGTGTGGACAACAGAGTTAAACATTGTCCAGTACCTTGTTCTTTACATTTACTGGCAAACAAACCTCTCTCTCTCTCTCTCTCTCTCTCTCTCTCTCACACACACACACACACACACACACACACACACACACACACACACACACACACACAACCACTTTTCTCAGCGGTATGGCTAACTTTGGGTGATGCGGTGAGTCCTTATCCATCAGTCACATACATCCTGGGCAGCCTGTCGAGGTTCAACCAGGTGACGAGTCAGTGGAAGTTTGACGAAACAGTTCCTTTGTGGAGTTGTGATAGCGAACATGCCAACACACACATGCGTGAATGAACATGCATACACGCAAAAAAGAAGCACAAACATGTACACCGTACACACATTCGTACCTTGATGAGTCCATACTCCGGGCCCCCACTTAGTCCCTTTGGAAGGTTGGTAGGTGAGCTCCTGCAGCTGGTGGCAGTTAGTTGACAAGCATTCCATTACCACAGATATGCCCACCTTCCTGCACATACACATGCACAGAAGACACAAGAACTGAGTAAACAAGCATCACAAAGTTAGCTCTGGTACAACAACCTGCAGTTCAATCAACAATACGTTTGCAGCAAACCCGCTTTTTTTGCACAACTGCTGTTCAGCTGCGTAAGCACAGTGAATCACAGCCTCACACAGAGCCTCCACAAACTCCGCGTGTAAGACATCCAATTGCCATCACCCCAAGACCACAACCACTCTACTACATTACACAAGGAGAATACAACCAGCAGGATCGTACAATCCTGTTATAAAGCGTACAATCCTGTTAAAGCCCGTCCCAGCCAAAGTACCCAGGTAGCTGGGAGAAATGTATTGGATTTCTGGGCAGCCCGGTGGGTTCATAGAAAATGTGGGCCCCTTGTATACAGTGCATGGCATTTCACAGTTCCTGAGCAGTCGTAGTTCATCATCGCAAAGAACAACTAGGAGAACATCAGCAAGACCTGTGCAATGCACATCTGCGTGAACATACGAAATATCTGCATAACCAGAAGAAAACTTAGGCCATTCTACTTCTACACCTCAATTCTCTCCATTTGTCCTCCTTAGATTGACCGTAGTAACGCAGAGTTATAGTGTGAAGGATAAGCACCAATAGCATAAACATTTGAACTCCCCGATCTTTCGACCGCGGTGCAGGGCTTGTAGTACCAGCATCTGTTCATTTACGGCCACTATCAAATCAAACAGAAACATGCCTCAATCAAATCAAAAACAGAAACATGCCACAGTGGAAGCATACAGTCGTGGACTTCAGATCGAAGCATTGGCTGCATTGGCAGTCGTCAGAGCGAAAGCATGGGGGAGCGAGATCGTGTATCAGAGTGTTTCATAGGGCGCTGGTGATCAATAACTCGGTGCTATCATCGTTACAGTATGCGGAGGCGGACCATGTGTCAATCGTCGCACCATGTGTCAAACAAACCTAAAGCTGACTGTTCATAATATTTGTCAGCAAGGGAAATGGACCTTGGGGATGTGATTTGCCGAGTGCCATGGCCTAAGTTGACTCAAGAAAGAGCCCAAGGAGGGATGGTAATCATAAACTCCCAAGTTCAGATCCTTGCCCTGCAGCTGCTGAATGTAGTATGGTCTCTGAGGGTGTGGCGGGTGAGGCACTGGGCGCAGTTCCAAGGTATAATATGGAGTATGTGACCAAGTTGCCTCCGAATGTGGTGGAAGTGTGCCTCACTAGTGGCAAATTAATGGGACACCTGCCTCTCAATCTGGAGTAAGATGCATCCGCAGAGGAACCCCCCATTGGTTGCAGACAAAGTGTTTAATCAGCTTCTTTGAATATATTATGGATGAGGAGGGAGGTATGTTCCCATAGTATGGCAGGCAGGGGTTGTTGGGATGTATAAGATACGGCATGCGTGGAATGTGGCTAGAAGGATTGGAGGACTGATGAGGAAATGACAAAGGTTCTTCCTTGGCAAGTAAGGAGGTCGCAGAGGTTGAGAGTTCGAAGGAGGATATTCCGACGGAATGGATCGTTATCTTGAAAAAGGGTGGCCTGACAAAAGGTGAACGGGTGAATAAGCAAGGGGAGCGATACACATTAGAATGGAGGAGGATGCCTGGGGGGGATGAGGTGCAGCTCTCGGAATTGGAGGTTCATTCTGGCTACACTGGCCTAGGACAGGTATTGACTGGGGGCAGGGAGGATTGCATTTACCCCGAGAAAGACATGGGTGCCTCCCAGTTGGAGCCCATTTCGGTCTGCAGACGCTCCAAGGGTACAAAGAAGGACTTCAGGCCGTTATGTATTAGCAGGCCCTGCAGGGATCTGGTCTTCGACTTAACGGGAATGGATGTGGCTAGCGCACAATCATAATCGCGGGCCTGTTCCTCCTCAGGAGGTAATGACAAAGATTATTTACAAGTCCGTCTTCTCTAAGGTGGGAGAGTGATTGGTTGCCACCTGCCTACTGGGAGAGGTGGAACAGGGGCGCTTGGAGCGAACATTGGTCTATGTTAAGGACTCTGCCTGATTAGAAGCAAGCAGGTTTCCTGTGGCTAATAATTTGCGTGGCTGTCCCAGCTGCCGAGTGGCAAGCAACAAAGAGTCGGTACAAGGATGGTCGATATGCTGCAGGATGTGAGCAATTGGAGACCATCCGGGATATGTTTGTGTCTTGGCTTGCCTGTGAGTGCGTTCTAGGCATGGCGGACGGTGGAAATAGCGGATCATTTCCCACTGGCAGTTCAAGGACATCGCATATATCCTCCCAAGACTTCGGGAGGAGGTGTGGGGTGCGTACCCGGCGTTGGTGGAAGAAGGCAGGTCCAGGGGAGAGCTGCAGTTTGGCCCCTTGTTGAGGAGTTATGCTAATCCAGTTTCTGAATTGCTGGTGTGATTCTTGTAATAGTAGTAGGTAGGCCATTTGGGAGGTAGTGGGGGTTTGGTGGAAGAAGGCAGGTCCAGGGGGGAGCTGCAGTTTGGCCCCTTGTTGAGGAGTTATGCTAATCCAGTTTCTGAACGTGATTCTTGCAATAGTAGCAGGTAGGCCATTTGGGAGGTAGTGGGGGGTTGTAGGGGTGGATGGGAGGTGGGTGAGGTAGGTTAGGATGGTTGCAGTAGTGGGAGGGGAACATAGGGGGAAATAGTGAGGGCAATATCCTAGACATTTCACAAAAAGTGGTAGGAAGAAGAGCGGTCTCTCATATTGCAGAACAAATTGGGGTCGAGAAGGGAAGATACGAGGGTGAAAAGGGTGAAAAGGGTGGAATAGGGTGGTGTGGTTCTGAGGAAACATGTTTGTGGCATGGTCGATATTGGCGAATGGAAGTAGGGGTGGAGAAGGAAAGATACGAGGGTGAAAAGGGTGGAATAGTGTGGTGTGGTTCTGAGGAGACATGTTTGTGGCATGGGTCGATATTGGCGAATGAAAGCAGTAGGGACAAATAGGGGGTAAGCAAAATGGGTGGGATATAGGAACCTATGGGAGTAAAAGGATATAGTATCAGTGAACCAGGGAGAAAGGGGGTAGAGTCCCAGCGTGTGAATCTGGACAGAGTTTGGGCCAGGCAGTACGGCATCCACTTCAGGCTCTGGCATGGCTGTTCTTCGGTCTCGCATGCTGTGCATCTGGGTATTTAAAAGAGGTTTCCCAATCAGCATGCTTTGACCATAGAGAGCCTGGCCAAGATCCAGATGGTCTGTATGGCTGTTCTGCCCCCTGTTGGCATCTAGAGCCCGAGGGGTTCGCCTCTGCTCTTTCTTGTCTGCTTCCATCTTACTTATCCTTGTACCTTGACCTTGGTCTATGCTTGCCAGTGATAAGCAACCGGACTGCTGCCCCCCAGAATACATGGGACTTGGTTTGTTTCTTGAAAAAACAAACAGAAAAAGAGACTGCAGTCACTGGCATCTGCCACAACTAGTGCCCTAGTAAGAAGTGTCAACAGAAGGGTTGATGGAGCTGATAGTCATCAAGCAGCAAGTCTATCGCCGCTGCCAGCAGTATCAATCCACCGGCACTCAGGTGAGAGTAAGCAGTCACTGGCAGCTGCCACATCTACCGAGCGCCATTGTACCCAAAAACGTGTCAACGGAAGGGTTGCTAGAGCTAATAGTCATGAAGCATCCATTCATCGTCGTGAAGCATCCAGTCATAATCATGACGCATTCAGTCGATCGCCGCTTCTTCTTCTTCTTCTTCTTCTTCCCCTCCTCCCCCCTTTCCTCCTTGTCCTCCTTTTCTTCCACCTTCTCCTCCCCCTCCTCCTTCCTCTCCAGCCCTTTCTCCTCCACCACCTCCTCCTCCTCCTCCTTTTCCTTGTGCTGCTCCTCCCCCTCCTCCTCTTTCTCCTCCTGCTCCCCCGTTTTCTTCTTCTTTCTTGTACTTCTTCCTCTCATTTTCACCTCCTCCCCTTCTAATCTCCTCCTCTCCTTCTCTCCTCCTCCTCCTCCTTCAACTCCTCCTCCTCCTCCGCCTCTGTCCCTTTGTTCTTCTTCTCCCCCTCTTCTCCTCTCCTCTCGTCTTCTTCTTCTTCTCCTCCTCCTCCTCCTCCTCCTGCTTCTTTTCTTCTACTTCTACTTCTTCTTCTTCTTCTTCTTCTTCTTCTTCTTCTTCTTCTTCTACTACTACTACATTCACCGAGTTCTTTCATCGGTGACCATTTTTTGTTCACTTGTGTTTCGTTTCACTATTCACGTGACTGGTAGCGATCTGTGGTTGGTGAGACGACATAGGCAGAGACATCTAGGGCTTCGGTCTGGTATAGAGGATACTGACAGATACTTCTCGCGCCTTCAATTCATACAACAAAAAGGCTTCAAAACCCTTTCTCTTAATGAGCAGAGAATTTGGAATCCAATCTCCAAAACCGGACATGAACCCTGGGTGGTCCATCAAGATGGCTCCCTTCAACAGGTCAATATAAACATGATGAACAGAAAAACTATTTCCAAAGATGTCCAAGAAAATTTTGTAAACTGAAGACTTTCCTGAAGTATGGCCCAGGAAGGTAAAGAGAACATCAGAGGTGCAAACGGGGTGAAAGGTAGATCACTTACAAGCCCACAAGTTCTAGATCCTGCAGTAGAGGGCAAGCAGCAAGGGCTCTTCGCAAAGGTCCAATCCCAAGTGCCAACACGTTATACAAATGGAGTACCCTGAGTGGATGACTGCATAACCATCATCGTCACAATCATGTTCAGCATCACACCAACCGTCACCAACACACACACACACACACACACACACACACACACACACACACACACACACACACACACACACACACACACAGGCAGGTACCACTATAATGGTCACAAGTCATGTATCACAAAATGAAGCTTCATAACTTCAAAGATGCACATTAGCCCTGTGAGGTAGTGACCATGCGCATTGTGATAACCCAGTCTTATGATTCCCTTTCACACAGATTACCACAAACTGAGCGGGTGGAGTGTGCCTGATTGAATTCCATGATACGACCCAGAATGTATTCTCTCTCTCTCTCTCTCTCTCTCTCTCTCTCTCTCTCTCTCTCTCTCTCTCTCTCTCTCTCTCTCTCTCTCTCT